AGTTGAGATTTGCAAGAAGAGTGGGCATTTACTAAGCCAAGGGGAGGGAGAGAAGAGATGGACTAGGGAACATTCCAGAGAAAGCAAAGATTCTGTGGCTGGAGCAGACAGAGCCAAGGAGTTAGTGGGGAGGGAACCCAGTCTGGGTTAGTGGGGAGGGAACCCAGCCAAGGCAAGGAGCCTTTCCAGCAGGGCATGGCTTGATGGGTTCCCAGGCAGAGTGGATGACCCAGTGTGGATTTTTAAGATAATGATTAGACAAGAGGGATGTCAGTCTTCCCATGGGCTCCCACAATGGAAGCATGTTTGGATCCCTTACATAGGCATTAGTGTGCTCCCAAGTGGGTGTTTTTATCTGTCACAGTGATCTCAGCTAAGGAATGCCAAACAAGGACCATCCACAAAAGATGTTATAGAGTACGTAGCCAACTCATTATGCAAATGGCCAAGCTGCTTATCCTCTGGGACCGTCTAGCAAATGCTTTCCCACTTCTATTGGGAGGTCACATTCTTATCTTCTTCCTAACCTTCATGGATAAATGACATGACCAAGTAGAGAACATGCAGCACGCATGCCAGTAGAAAGCACCCCCAAAGGCCCTATGGTTTGCAAACTCGGGTTGGGGTGGGGGGGGTTAGGGGATAAATGGAATGTTATCTCCCTGTAAGGAAGCTGAATCAAAGCTCATCACATAAAATGAATAAAGCAGCAGAACTGTTCTCGGTGTAGAGGACCCAACACCTTCTTCCCCTTCCTCTATTCCCTGTGGCAACTCCCAAGACCAGTGTATCCACACTAACAAAATAGAAGGCTGGGCATGGTGGCTCAAGTCTGTAATCCCAGCACTTTGGGAGGCCAAGGTGAGAGGATCATCTGAGCCCATAGGTTCAAGAACAGCCTGGGCAACTTGGTGAGACCTTATCTCTACAATAAAAGAAAAAATTAACCAGGCATGGGAGCTCATGCCTGTAGTCCCGGCTACTTGGAAGGCTGAGGCAGAAGGATCGCCTCAGCCCAGCAGGTCAACACTGTGGGCGACGGTGTGAGACTCCAACTCAAAACAACAACAACAACAACAAAATACAAAGTTGGTAGTTCATACAATGGGCAACTTTCCAGTAATTAGGCATTTCTTGGAGCATCTGAAATTTTCAGAAGAGGGAAAGGCAGGAAAACTTGGCTGGCGGTGGGGCTGTGTGTACCAGTCCTCTGCTTGGAACAACTTTAGTAGCACCTCGTTATGGTTAAAATAAAATCCAAACCTGGTCCCATGGCTGCAAAGCCCCACCTGATCTGGTTTGCTCCTGACTTCAGGGGCCCCTGCTGTTTGTACTGTGTGTCCCTTCACCACTGTACTCCAACTTATTCCCTGCCCAGGGCCTCAGTCCTGGAATGCCCTTACCTCATGTCTATGTGGCTGGCTACCTCGCTTCATTCCATTCTCAATCCAAAGTAACCCCCTCAAAGAGATTTTTTTCTAACCATCCTGAAGTATCCCCTTCCCTACTCCCAGTCACTCTCTAACCTATTACCTATTGTGTTTTATCACTATCTGAAGTCTGGTTTGTTTACTTGTTTTTATCTGTCTCTATAAACTAGAATGTAAATTCTGTGAGGACAAAGATCTAGTTTAACTTGTTCAACATCATATCTGCTAAGCCCAGAACAGTGCTTGTTGCTTAATAAATATTTGTCAGATGAATGAATGAGTTCAGTAGCAGTATTCTCATACTTGGAGGGCTATCGTGTTGGAAAAATTAATTTATTTACTCACGCAATAAACATTTATGGGATCACAAATATTCATTTAATAAGTAATTATTGAGAAAATAGTACATGTTAGGCACTGGGGATTAGAGGCAAACATAGAGACACCATCCCTACTCTTAAGGACCTCGTAGTATTGTAATGGCCAATATGCAGAAATGTGGAAAAAATAAAGAGACATGAAAATCAGCAGGACATAAAGACTAATTGGTCTTGGGAGGTGAAGAAGAGAGAGAAGATGTGCCCTAGGCTTGGGCACATGAGGAGTTGATTGTGCCATTCTGTGAGCAAGGATCCCCAGGTAATAAGGAAAAGGAAGGTCAGCTTTAGAGATGTTGCACTGTGGAATATGCAAGAGGGCACATCCAGCAAGGAGTTGAGTATTCAGGTCTGGAGCTTAGGATGGAGACAGATTTGATTAATCATGGACAGTGAGCAGTGTTTCAAGTCATGGGAGTAGTAAGATAAATCAGGTGGATAAAGTATGGGGGAAAAACCTAACATTTATGGGATGGTTGGAAGTAAAACCTGCAAAGATGTTAAAGGAGAAACCAAAATAGTGGAAAGTTTTGTCACAGTGCCTACTCTTTTAGAGACACCATGTAAGGTGAGGACTGAAAGGTATCCATTGAACTTGGTGACAAAGCAGTCCTTGGTAATCTTTGCTAGAGCCATTGCCATAACATCGTGCGGCTGGGCATGATGTTTCCATTTGCTAAAAAAGAAGTGAAGACCAGGAGATGGAGAGAGATGTAGAAAGCTCTTACAAGGTTCTTGACCCTGAAGGAAAGGGGAGAGATAGAAGGGTGGCTGAAGAGTGTAGCTAGAAAAATACATTCAGTGATACTCTCAAGAGCAGAACAAGGATTTAGAGCAGAAATTATTGGGAGGCAACCTTAGCTTTACACAAAACCAAACTTTCTAATCATTAGAGTTGTTCAAAATTGGATTGAGCTGTCTCCAGAAGAACTGAGCTATTGATTGCTGGATTTATGGAAGAATCACTTGAATATTCTATTAGAAAAAATAGAGGTATCAAATTAGTAATCTAGACTTATACCTTAAGAGACTAGAGAAATAAGAGCAAATTAAACCCAACACAAGCAGATGGAAGGAAAAATAAAGATCGGGAATAAATAACATTGAAAATGGGGAAACAGTAGAGAAAATAGTGTGAAACTAAAAGCTGGTTCTTGGGGGAGTGGGGTGAGGAACCACTAAAGTTGATTAAAAACCTCTAGGCAGACTGACCAAGGAAAAAAGAGAAAACATGAATGACCAGGAATGAAATGAGGACATCACTACAGACCCTACGGTCATCAAAAGGCCAATAAAGTTGTGCTACAGACAACTCCATGCTCATAAATTATAGTAAGATGAAAGGAGCCAAGTCCTTTAGTGACACAAATTCACAAAACTCACTCAAAAAAAAATAGATAAACTGGATAGTCCAGTGTCTTAAAAAAAAAAAAATCATTCCTCCTTACAAAAAAAAAAAACTTCTAACAAAGAAAACTCCAGGCACACATGGCTTTACTTGTGAATTCTACCAAACACTTAAGGAGGAAATAGTACCGATCCTATATAGTTTTCTCCAGAAAATAGAAAAGAGGAGAATTCTTCCCAACTTATGAGGCTTTATCTCTGGTATTACCTTAATACCAAAACCAGAGACATTTGAAAAAAACTACAAATCAGTATCTCTTATGAATATAGAATAAACATCCTCAACAAAATATTAACAAGTAAAATCAAGAAATACATAAAAAAGATGATACATTATAACCAAGTGAAATTTATTTCAGGAATACAAGGCTGATTCATCACATACAAATCAATCAATGCTATTCACCAGATGAATATGAAAGAATAGCCTGAATGATCAGTAAGCAAAGTTTTTAGGTTATATGATGAATCAAAGGATTTACATTTAGATATAGCAATGAAGACCAGGTTGTGTTTTTTACTGAAAAGGAGAACAGCTCACTTAGAAAGAGAGAAATTTTCCATCTGACCAAGAAGCTGAGAATTACAATATTAGATCAGCCAGGTTCCTCTGAAGGAACTTCAGAGTGTTCTCTCTCTGGTATCCATTTCAAGGACTGATATGCAGTTCAAAAGAAGGAATTTAGGGGTTTCCCTCTTGCACATCTGGCCTTTCAGACTCCCAAGATGCCAGTGTGTCATCCATGCCCTTGGTAGAGGAAGCCAAGGGCACTCACAGTCCTGATTTTCTCAGTGGCTTCAAATCCCAAAGTGTCAGAGTTTGAATGGAGCCTGGATCTCACCTAATCCAAATGCCCATGATTTTATTTTCTTTTATTTAGAGACAGAGTCTCACTCTGTTGCCCAGTCAGCCTGCAAGTAGTACAGTCCTAGCTCACTGCAACCTTAAACTCCTGAGCTCAAGGAATCCTCCTGCCTCAGCCTCTCAAAGAGCTGGGACTACAGGTGTATGCCACCACACCAGCTAAAATACCTACAATTTAAATAAGAAAAAGCAAAGCCCCAGTGGAGGGTGACTTTTCCAGGCCCTTTGCTGCCCCTTTGTTCTGAAATCCAGTGTTCATGAACTGGATCCAGGATAATAAACTCATGAGAATATATCTTCTGTCTTGCCCTAACCAAAATTGTCCTTCCAACCATTGTAGGTTTGCTTTTAAGCTTACCTTTAATGTGTCACAAATCACCCCCAGATCCAATCTGGCCTGGGTTCTGGTCCTTCTCTCACTAGTTGATGTCTAATGTGGAGAAAACCAATCAGACACAGGCCTTCACACAGAATCTTCCTGGATTAATGGACTGGAAGATTGACCTAGCCAGCTGCTTTGAGCCTACAGACCTCACACAACCAACCAGCCAGAGTCTAGGCCCATCATCTCATCATTCTTTCTAGGACTTCAATAAATTCCTTACAAGAAAATGAATAATACATTTTTATTATACCAAAAATGTACTGAGCTCTCATTATACACCTGTTACTGTACTATGAGGTCATGCATCCTCTTATTGAATCCTCACAACCCATTAAAACAGGTACTGTTCTCATTCTCATTTTACAGATAGGTAAATAGATTCAGGGAAGCTAGGTAACCTTGCCAGGGTCACACAGCTAATAAGTAGAAGATCCAGGATGTGAACCCAGGTCTGACTGACTCCAGTGTTCACATTTTTAGAAATGAAAATTATTTTAAAATGAAAATTATTTTCTGTTTCTTTCCCTCCTCTGCAGTCTCAGGAAGAAGTCTGTGATTTGCTCCACGCTGCACCCTTCCAAAACATATTGCCTCGAGTCTACATCAAAGGTAAGAAACCACTAATGGCAGCCAAGTAGCCAACTTGTGTTTGAACCTCATGCTCACCTCCTAATCTCAGTCAACTCAAATCTGCAGACAGCATGGGAGAGGGTAAAGCTTTGATGCCTACTGAATAATCACACAATTGGAAATGACCTTGTTCCTTGTTCCTTCTAGAACATCTCCAGTATGTTGCTTCCTAGTCTTGGTTTAAATTCCTCAAGTGATGGAAGGTAGATGATTTCATTATTGGACATTGGTCACAGAACATTTTTTTCCTGTGAGCCCTATTCACACTCTCCACAACCAAGGAGAGCAGTCCTATAGGTGCCATACAAGTTCTGGATCGCAGATACGTCATCAGGTCCTCCGGGAGTCGAGAGCTTCCCCTTCCCCACTTGCCCAGTGTGCCCTGAATCTCATTTTCTCCTCTGTGGCTCCTTTTGCAGAAGGCGAGCGCCTGGAGGTCCGGATGAAACGTCTGGAAGCCAAGTATGCCCCACTTCACCTGGTCCCTCTGATCGAGCGACTGGGCACCCCTCAGGTACCAATCTCATGGGCTTCAAGCACCAAAAGGTGCTTTGGGAGAGAGCATTTGGCCCAACCCCGTCATTTTACAGGTAGGAAAACTGAGGCCCAGAGAGGGGAAGAGATAATACCACAAAGCTGACTCGTGGCAGAAGCAGGTTTAGAACAAGATTTGCTGCCTCTCAGACCTGTTTCTTCTACACCCCAGACTATGTATCCCGCCAAGAAAGAAGTCAGCTCATGTAAACAAGTATCTACTATGCACCTGTCAGGTGTCAAGAATCCTGCTACACTGTCTCTCACAATTAAAACTCCACACCCCGTGTGAGCTGGCAATTGACTTCTGGGTATTTATGCTAGAGAAACACTCAGAGGAACAGAAGATGCCTACATTGTTTGTTAAAGCAAAACCTGGAAACAACCTAAACATCTTTCGGTAAAGCATTGATGAAAATGCTGTGTGGTCATCTAAATGCTGAATTCTTGCATACTCAGCACTTACTTAGCACATAATGAAAAGGAAAAGTTGGCTCTAGATTCATCCTTGTGGGTAGATCAAAAGCACATGGTTGAGTGAATAAAGCAAGTTGCGTTACCATTCACACAGGACAATCCCATTTGCTTTTTTTTTTAAACACACAAAGCAAAACCAAAACTTTTCCTAAAAATATCTGGAATAGGCCGGGCTCGGTGGCTCAGCCTGTAATCCCAGCACTTTAGGAAGCCAAAGCGAGTGGATTGCCTGAGCCCACGGGTTTGAGACCAGCCCAGGCAACTTGGCAAGACCTCATCTCTACAATAAAATAAAAAATTAGCCAGGCACGGTGGTGTGCACCTATAGTCCCAGCTACTTGGAAGGCTGAGGCGGAAGGATCACTGGAACCCAGCAGGTTGACGCTGGGGTGTCCGTGAGCTTGCCACTGCAATCCAGCCTGGGCAATGGTGTGAGACTCCAACTCAAAAAAAAAAATCTGGAATAATCTACTTATAGTTTATCACCGCAGCAACCTCTGAAGAGAGATGACAGAGACAGAGGTTGGGTAGAGGGGGAGGGACTCAAAGAAGGCTCCAGCTTTATCTGGAATGTGCTAATATTTTCAAAGTGAAAATTGGCTCATATGTTAATTCTGTAATTAAATTAACTTTTTGCCTCCAGAGAATTCAGAGACTGCAGGGAGCAGGAGGGAAGGGGAAGAGGGGCCACAAAACAGACGTGCTGTCTCCTTTCAGACTGATTTAAGCAGTTGTCACCTTGTGGGTGTGGGCAGGGGAAGAATTCAGGGAGAAAGGGCACTGTGGTGGGACCAGCCAGTGCTGATGGCTTAAAAGGTTTAGGATTGAAATCCACTCACGGACTCACATTCCAGTGCTCCTGGTGTTCTCACCAAGGGCAGAAGGAGGCCTCTCTTCTGGCAAAACATGCCAAGTATTTGGAGCACAGTGCAGAGCCACATTGGTATGGGTGTCACACTGAGGAAGCCAGCCCAGCCGGGTCCGCTTCATACCACCAACCACCTACTGAAAACATGACTATAAGCTAAGCGGTGTTCATGTTCTTTGCCTGACTGCAGAGAGAGCTCAGAGCCTATAGAGTAAAATCCATAGAGCACACATGTTTTCTTTCTTGGCCTTCAGAAGCTGAACCAAAGAGATCCTCTAAAATGATTTCCTTTTAGGGAGAAATCCCCCAAGCCAGGGACATGTGAGTGTGTCCGCTCCACTGCTGGTGTCATCCTCCAAGCATCCAGCCTCTCGTGCCCAAGGTTTGACATGTGTTTCCACTTAGAGGACTGAATTCCTTCCCTGTTCTGGTGAACATGCTTTCCTTGGGACTGATAGAAATCTCAATTTGTCAAACACTGAGTATTTAACAAACACAAACCTAGACATTCCATGAGAGAGGAAATGCCAGTTTTATAGTCTCCTGGTCCTCAAGAAATAGTCTAAAACCTACTCACTCCCTAGGCCAAAGACACATTAACAAAATACTAGCTTCCAAGCTAGGTGGGGCCCAGGGTATTCATAGCTACGTCAGTGACAGGGCAACTCTGTGACATTTAATGCCAGGAAGCTTGATCAGTACTGTGTTGTTTGCATTTGTTTCTGAGACAAATTGATGTGACCTAGTTTGTTATCCCATACTAGCATGGAAGGAAAACTCTGGGGATCACTGAAAGACCACGATCCTTGTTCCAGATCCACCCCCAAATGATGTAGTCAAGCTATTTAATTTCTCAGTCTTTGTTTTCCCATCTGTGAAATGGGATAATCACTACTTTACTTCCTTAAGTGAGCTGCTCTTTCTAGATTGTTTTGATGAATGAATAATGTAAGCATAAGAACATAAAGGGATTATATGAAGATGGAATATTGAGATATTATTCTCCTTCAAAGGGTACTAAATGTAATCAAGCTACTCCATACAGAAATGATTTCAGTCAGCCTTCTCAAATGTTTTCTCCTTTCCCTTGTTAACTCAGAAAAGAAGGCCAGAAAGAGAAAAACTCCCCGACTGAATAGAATATAAATGAAAGGGATAAAGGCTATGTTAACACACACACGCACACACACCATATGACACCAAGCCACAGATGGGATATTTGCAGCAATCTATAAAGCATTTACTCAAAGCAAAAAGAAAATGATAGACATACCAAAAAAAAAAGGCATGAAAGAAAACTTACCCCTGAATTGTATCCCACATCTTAATAATAAAAAATAAATGAATAAAAAAAAAGAAAACTTGCAACATAAAAACTACCATGCCAACAAACAGAAAAGGTCTTCAGCCTTCCCAGTAATCTATGAAACGCAATTTCAGAAAATGAGGTACAATTTTTCACCCCTCAAGTTGGCAAAGAATACTCAATGATAGTAGAGTATTGATGAGAGTTCAGGGAACAGGCTTACACAGGATGGTGCACAGTGGGTCAACTTTCCCTCACAGGTTGGAGTGTAGTGGCATGTTCACGGCCACCGCAGCCTCGACCTGCTGTGCTCAGGTGATCCTTCCGCCTCAGCCTTCCAAGTAGCTGGAACTACAGGTGTGCACCACCACGCCCAGCTAATTTTTTTGTTTATTGTAGAGATGTGGTCTCACCAAGTCGCCCAGGCTGGTCTCAAACCGTGGACTCAGGCAGTTCTCTCATCTCAGCCTCCCAAAGTGCTGAGATTATAGGCATGAGCCACTGCGCCTGGCATGGAAAAGCCTTTTAAAATAGTTATACTTGGTCAGGCACAGTATCTCCTGCTATAATCCCAGCACCTTGGGAGGCAGAAATGGGAAGATCACTTGAGGCCAGGAGTTCGAGACCAGCCTGGGCAACATATTGAAACCCCATCTCTATTTAAATAAATAAATTAAATAGTTATACTCATTACTTACTTACTTCTATTACTAAGTATTTTAACGAAATATTCAGAGGTACGTTCACAAAATTATGTATATATGGATGGTTGCTTCAGAATTGTTTGTAATTATGAAAATTTACAAACAATTTAAAATAATCAACAAGCATAGAAGGCTAAATAAATTATGGTATATCAGTGGCCACTTTATGTAGCCATTAAAAGATCACATTGCTAAAAATATTGATTAAAGTGAGTTTTTAAATTACCAATCTATTAAGACAAAAATGCAATATAGTGTGATCCAAATTTTATTAAATATATTACACACACATACATAAACACAGACAAATCCTACATCAATATTTTAAGAAAACTCATCTCTTAGTAATGGAGTTTATGGAGTATTTTTCTTATAACTTTCTAAAAAAAATTTTCCACATTTTACCTAGTGACTATGTAGTTACTTTTATAGTTTGCAGAAAGTACTGGAAAGGTACTTTTGCTTTTCAAAGGAAAGGAACAAAGCCCCTAACGATGTCAGTGAAGGCCCTTTTGTTGTAGTGGGTGGGGTCAACAGAGTTCAAAGTGTGTCTGACGATTTATACATTCAATTGCTGATTTTTCTAGTTCCTTCCACCAGAACTGTCAGGCCCTGAGAATTAATTCAGACTAACCAAATGCACAGTAGATTAACAAGTATACCAGAACTCTGTGCTAATTTACAAAAGAGAACAGTCATGGCTAAAGACAAACTGAGTTCCTTTTTTTTGTGGGTGTCGGGATCTAGCTCTGTCGCCCAAGCTTGGGTGCCGTGGCATGATCATAGCTCACTGCAACCTCGAACTCCTGGCCTAAAGCAATCTTCCCACCTTGTCTTTCCAAGTAGCCATGCCCGGCTAATTTTTCATTTTTTATAGAGACAGGGTCTCGCTGTTTCCCACACTGATCTTGAACTCCTGGCCTGAAGTGATCCTCCCTCTTCAACCCCTCAAAGTGCTGGGATTGCAGGCATGAGCTACCATATCCAGCCAGGGGTCCTTTTCGTACTGAGGATGTCCACTGTACCAGACACCCTTTTTCTGAAGTGGCTAGTCCTTTCAGGGGCCAAATAGAACAGAAAAAGAAGAACAAAGTAAGAACAGAACCCTGCACATGGCTCAGGATTTTTTTTAAAGAGATATTTCTAGCTAACTGTGGCACCTTGAGTGGTCCCTCCTCTGCTCAAAGTTGTCTCTGCCTATGAAATCAAGATGAGTCACCAAGAATCAGGATTCCCTCTCCTTTGTGTCTAAAACACACATTGGCAAACTCTTCTCTGGTTCATCTTTTTCCTAGACTTCTTTCCATGTGTAGTTGTCGTGACAACTGCTCGCATGGCCCACATTTCCAATAGGCGCCCATGCTGGCATTTCCTGACATATTTGCCTCCATGGATTCACTTAGAGGTCATCTCTTCCTGGGAGTCCCCAGGGAGGGAGCTCAGGGAGGGTGGAGGGTTGGTGGTCAAGCAGGTGCCTTCCTGCTGTTACAGTCCGGTCTAAGCAATGTTAGACTGCTCCCCTTGATACCAATAAATCAAAGAGGCAGGAAACTGGGAAAGAAGTTTATTTCTGAGTTCGAGTCCAGGAAGCAGAGCCAGACTCGAAGTCTTTCTAAAATGGTTCTGCTCACTCTCTAGGTTTTACAGTTCACTTTTATAGTCCAGAGTTGTCGGTACCCACACATTAGCCACGTCACCAGCAGAGCATTTTATAGAACTGAAGTTACAGCTGTATTTTACATTTGGCGTGTGAATTTAGAGTATGGAAAGTTTACAAGGCCTAAAACATGCATTGCAAAAGTTATGCCAATCACAAGATTTACGATTGCACTGATACTGTATAGTTCAAAGAAAGGGAGTAAATAGGGATTTACATCTTTGGGCTTAGTCTGCTGAGAAGTCAAGGATCCCCTGAAACTATTTACAGGGAGTGCATAAAAGACAAGTACAGGAGTCATTGAACCCTTGCCATGCCCTTCTCTAGGGGCTGTGACAACATGGAGGGACTTTAGTGAATCCCTGTATCACTGCCACCCTGTAGAAGGGGCTTTTGGGGAAGACCCCCCTGGGGAGTCGATCCCATGAATGCCCCATGGACCTCAGTTTTGGAAGCCAGCCTCTCTAGCTTTGACCCCAATTTGAAGACCTTACTTGGACCTTAGATTTTAAGATGTATCTTACTTTGCAGATGGCTGTGGGGACTTAAACCCTAGATGTTTTTACTCATAATGTATATGGTAATGTGTGTTGACATCTGGCCAGCTGATTATTAGATATGCAGTAGCAGGACCCAGATGAGAAGCTAGTTTAAGTGATTAATAGAGATTATTTATAGTTGCCAAAGAAAGAATTCTTTTTTTTTTTTTCTGAGTTGGAGTCTCACTCTGTCGCATAGACTGGAGTGCAATGGCCGCTCCCAGCCACCACAGCCTCGACCTGCTGGGCTCCGGCGATCCTTCCACCTCAGCCTTACAAGTAGCTGGAACTACAGGCGCATGCTACCATGCCCAGCTAATTTTTTGATTTATTGTAGAGATGAGGTCTCACCAAGTTGCCCAGGCGGGTCTCGAACCCGTGGGCTCAGACAATCCACTCACCTCAGCCTCCCAAGGCGCAGGATTACAGCCTGAGCCACCGAGCCTGACTCAAAGAAGGAATTCTAACTAGAGGAAATAATTCTGTGAGATCGGTAGCAAATTTTCAAAGATTAACATATGCTCATCATAACACATTCAACTGTATAGGAATATTTAAGATAAAAATCCTAGCTACTTCTCCAAGCTCAGCTGTTCCCACAATAGGTGTTCAACTCTTTAAAATGTTTTCTACACACACATACACCCTAAATATACTTTTATTTGTGGGACTATATGTTGCTGTTTGGGGGTTTTGGGGGGGTGGTTTTGGTGTGTGTGTCAGGGTCTCTCTCTGTCGACCAGGCTGGAGTGCAGTGGCATGATCATGGCTCACTGCAGCCCTGACTTCTGTCTCAGCCTCCCGAGTAGCTGGGATTACAGGTATACACCACCACACCTGGCTAATTTTTTGATTTTTTGTAGAAACAAGGTCTCACTATGTTGCCTGGCCTAGTTACGAAATCCTGGGCTTAAGCAGGCCACCTGCCTTGGCCTCCCAAAGTGCTGGGATTATAAGTGTAAGCCACTGTACTTGGCCATTGTTGCTTTATAACAAGATTGTAGTATACATTCTTTTCCACAGTTTGCTCTATTCACCGTGCAACTTAACCCATAGACCTAGACAACTGGGAATCAAATTCCAGCTTTCCCACTCACTGGTTGCCTCTCTGAGCCTCAGTTTCTTCATTTATAAAGAGAATAATAATGGTACCTACCTCTTGAGGCTGAATGGAGTCAACAACTCAGAAATGTTTAGAACAGGGCCTGGTGTATTACACACACTCAGGAGGTGTCAGTAGGAGTTACGGTAACAGCAGTGATGCTAACAAGAGCTTCACTTTGGTCTTTTCAGTGGCTATCTAGCATTTCATTATGTTGGCAGATCATAAATTTTTAAAATCCTCTTCTGATGGCTCCTGGATTTTACTTAACACAAGACTTACCCCCAGATTCCCTGCTGTTGCACTCAGGTTTACAAAGTTAGTGCCCTGTGCCGGGTAAGACATCAGTGCAGGTGAATGAATTCCAGGTGCAGCTAGCCCCAGGTTTGGGAATCCCTGCTGGGAGGTGGCCAAGGGGGTCTGAGACGCAGCTAGCAGATTTCTCTACCTTTGCGTTCCCAGCAAATCGCCATCGCTCGGGAGGGCGACCTCCTGACCAAGGAGCGGCTGTGCTGTGGCCTGTCCATGTTCGAGGTCATCCTGACCCGCATCCGGAGCTACCTGCAGGACCCCATCTGGCGGGGCCCGCCACCCACCAATGGCGTCATGCATGTGGACGAGTGCGTGGAGTTCCACCGGCTCTGGAGCGCCATGCAGTTCGTCTACTGCATCCCCGTGGGGACCAACGAGTTCACAGCTGAGTGAGTAACCATCCCAGGAAGGATCATCCCAGGAAGGCAGGCAGGGTGAGGTGGCCAACAGCAATCGAGTGTGTCAGTGGCTGTGCTGGGTGCTGGCGGACAGTCCCTGGTCCGTGAAGTTTACACAGCCAAGGGGAGAGACAAGAAACCCAGATAGAGGTCCATTGACTGAGGTTACTTTGCAGCAAAGGGGTGTAGGTGGCAGAGGAGAGGGGTGGGGTTTGTTAGGCTTCAACTCACAGACCGCATTGAGCCCCAGCAGTGCCTGAAAGTCCCCTGACAGAGGGAAGAAGGTGACATCCAAGGAAAGGACACAGATGGCTGAAGGCAGAAAGGGAGCATGTGGGTCCACCAACCTTGGGGCTCTGGGGCCTTGTCTTCACGAGCCTGGAAACTGGGTGGACTGCATGGCCAGGAGAGCACCTCGTTGGGGGTTGCCAGGAGGAGCTTCACTGTCCACCCCCCCAAAAAAAAAACTCTATGCTGGATACCGGGACCCTTTAGGAATCCCCCAGTCCTGTTCTTCAGCGAAGACAGAGCAGGGCTGGTTCTTCCTGCTGTCACCCAGCCATGTCAAGGACAGAGCAGTGAAGAAGGCAGACATGGCCCGCCCCCAGGAACCTAGAGCTCTAAGAAAATGTGGGGATGGGGGACCAGAGGAGGCATCCTTGAGGACCGGGTGTTTGAAACTGGGACAGGAAGGGAGCAAACCTCTGTGAAGCTATCTCCGGGCAGTGCTGGGCCCACATACCTCCAGCAGTGATGGGAACTGTGGCCACCTGCCTGCTGTGGGCTGGGCTGCTGCATGAGGACAAGACAGACAACTGAGGGGTGGGCCCTCCACCATCCACTCTGCTCACCTGTCTCTTGGGTGCTGGGGGCCTGCAGTGGGGACTTTCCCAGAATGAAGAGGACTCAGCATCCAAGCAACATCTGCCACTATGCCCTGTCCCTCCCCCCTTCCGCCTGCTGTGGCCAGTGGGCCCCTAGTCGGAAATGGCCCCTCACCCCACATGTGTCCTCCACCTCCTTTATAGAGCCGAGATGGATTCTCCTTTGACCTGCCTGTATAATCAGCCCCACAAACCTCAAGGGCTGAGTGGAGTGGAGTTTTTTTTTTTTTCTCTCTCACAAATGTGTCTTCTTCAGAGTTGATTTTTCTTTTCTTTTCTTTTGAGTCGGAGTCTCACTCCGTCCCCCAGGCTGGAGTGCAGTGGCATGCTCACAGCCACCACAGCCTCGACCTCCTGGGTTCAGGCGATCCTTCTGCCTCAGCCTTCCAAGAACCTGGAACTGCAGGCACATACCACCACGCCCGTCTTATTTTATTTTATTTTTCTATTCTTTGTTGTTGAGACAAGGTCTCACCATGTTGTCCAGGTTGGTTTGAACCCATGGGTTCAGGCAGTCCTCTCACCTCAGCCTCCCAAAGTGCTGGGATTACAAGCATGAGCCACCGCGGGGGCTGATTTTTCTTACATGATGGAAGGACTAGTAGTATAAACACAGTCCCTGGAATTAAAGAATTCACTCACAGCTTCCCTTGTGCCCATTTTACAGATTAAGACACATGGTCTCAAGGCAGGCCTGCTTAGTAGCTACACTGCAGGCCCAAGATGGGGTTCCCTCTCCCCACCTCCCACTCCAGCTGTTTCCCTCCTCTTCCAGGCAGTGCTTCGGTGATGGCTTGAACTGGGCCGGCTGTTCCATCATCGTCCTGCTAGGCCAGCAGCGTCGCTTTGACCTGTTCGACTTCTGTTACCACTTGCTCAAAGTACAGAGGCAGGACGGGAAGGATGAGATCATAAAGAATGTGGTGAGCAGGCTGGAGGCGGGGTCGGGGAGGAGGGGAGACAACCAGGCCCTCCTCAGAGGGAGCTCTTATGGAGGCCAACCCTCCACCCATGGGTTGGTGCAGGTACTCAGGCCCGGGACCTGCTTGGAGGAAGCCGTGAGTCACCTGCTCACAGCCCGCTGCCACAACAGGCCACCCAGAAAGGCAGGACTGGGCTCCAAGCCTGGAACATGGTGCCTTCCCTGTGCCTGTCGGACTCGGCTGAGGCCAGTTCCTAGTCCGTCCAAGCATCCACTGAACACTAGAGGGGTGCAGGGTGCAGGGATGGGCGAGGTGCTGGCGTGGGGTGAGCAGGGCTGCTGTGGCAGGGGAGGAAGGCCGGGGGTTGGGCAGAGAAGGCTTCTCGGAAGAGGGCGGCGGTACTTGGGCTGAGTCCAGAAGGGCCAACAGCTGGACCCGGGTAGAGCAAGGGTTGTGGGCCGTGAGAATGTTCCAGACAGAGGAGTGGCTACAGCAGAGAAACAGAGGCATGGAGGAAGATCAGAGGGTGGATCTCAGGTCCCCAGTGAGAAGAGAAAGAGGCAGGAGCCAACCCACAAAGGGTTTTTTTAAATTGTGTTAAAATATGAGGGGGAAACCCCAAAAAAACAATTTTTAAAAAATTGTATGTTTATTCTTACATGTTTAAACCTCGGTCACCTTCCAGTACTCTTTGTTTGAAGCAATAGACCCCTGAAGATGCTTTTTCCACTGCTCAAAACAATTTTGAACTCGTAAACTTTGATGCCTTTGAGTGCTTCAGTTTTTTCTTGTTTCACCTTTTCCACATTGGCGAAACATTTCCCTTTGAGGACTTTTTTCATCTAGGGAAACAAAAGTCACTCAGGCGAGATGGGGTAAATAGGGAGGGTGGGGCACAGGGGTCATGCTGTTTTTGGTGATCAACTACTGAACATGCAGTATGGTTTGGGCGGGTGTACTCATAAATCACCCATCATGAAATGGTGCAAATGCATTGAAAGAATTGCCAGAAAAAATTCACTGAAGCCGAATGCAGTCTTTCACAACAATACTAGCTGGTACACTGATGTCAATGGGTTCCTAGAGCACTTACCTACTATGGGAAGCCTGTACTATAAGGGATCAGCCCTTCCAAAAGTAATTCCGGGTTTTTTTGGGTTCCCTCATAAAGTAAGTCCCCTACATACAAACCTTCAAGTTGCGACCTTTCAAAGATGTGAACATGCATTTGCATGTCCAGTCACACAAGTTAGTTCACATGTCTGGTGTACATTGTCACATGCTGTACTGCAAAAGTAAAAGTGTTTTATTTTTTGTGTTCTTTTAATGTATTTGTGTGAAAAGTACTAAAACCTATTACTATAGAGCCAATTGTGTTAGTTGGGTACCTAAGCTAACTTTGTTAGACTTACAAACAAATTGGACTTAACGAACATGCTCTGGGAAGGGAAATTGTTCGTAAGTAGGGGACTTACTGTATACATAAAATTTATCATTTTGATCATTCTAAGTGTACAGTGCATTAAGTACACTCACATTGTTGTGCAACCGCCACCACCTCCATTTCCAGAACTTGTTCATTTTTTCCACCAGAAACTATACCCATTACAAAATAATTCTACACTGTCCCCTTCCCCAGCCCTGGGATCCACCATTCTACTTCCTGTCTCTATGAAGTTGACGTCTCTAGGTTCCTCGTATAGGTAGAATCATACAGTATTATCTTTCTGTGACTGGCTAATTTCACATAGCATATCATCCTCAGGGCTCATCTGTGTTGTCGCTCCACCCTTTTTGTGGCTGTAGAATATTCCATCGTGTCTATATACCACACTGTTTTTCCGTTCATTCATCCACATATGCTTGGGCTGCCTCCACCTTTGGCTGTTGTGGAAAATGGTGTTCAAATAATTCCTCAGACTACTGCTTTCAATTCTTCTGAGTAAATAGCCAGAGTATATGCTTTTGAGTATACATTCCAGAAGTGGAATCACTGGGTCATGTGACAAGTCTGTTTAAGTGTTTTAGGAACTGTCATGCTGCTCTCCGCAGCAGCTGCACAATGTTACATTTCCACCTGCAGTGTGTAAGAGTCTTGGTTTGTCTACGTTCTTGCAGTTTTGTGATCTGCAAATGTTTTCTTTTATTCCATGGATCGGCTTTTCACTCTGTTGATAGTGTGTGTCCTTTGATGTCCAAACTTTTCTTTCCATTTTGATGCAGTCCAATTTTTTTTCTATCGTTGCCTATGCTTTTGGTGTCATATCCAAGATATTGCTGCCAAGTCCTAGGTCATAAAGATTTTCCTCTATGTTTTCTTCTAAGAATTTTGTAGTTGTGATACTTATGTGTGTGCCTTTGATCCATTCTGAGTTAATTTTTTGCATAGGGCTTAAGGTCAGTGTCTATCTTTATTCTTTTGAATGTGGATATCCATTTTTCCAAGTCTCATTTGCTGAAAAGACTGTCCTGGCTGGGCGCAATGGCTCAAACCTGTAATCTCAGCACTTTGGGAGGCCGAGGCAAGAGGATTGCCTTTGCCTGAGCTTAGGGGTTAGAGACCAGCCTGAGCAACATGGTGAGACAATAAATTAAAAAAAAAATAAGCCCAGCGTGGTAGTGTGTGTCTATAGTTCTAGCTACTTGGAAAACTGAGGCGGAAGGATTGCCTGATCCCAGCAGGTTGAGGCTGCAGTGGCCGTGAGCGTGCCGTGGCACTCCAGCTTGGGCAACAGAGTGAGATTCTGACTCAAAAAAAAAAAAGAAAGAAAGAAAAGACTGTCCTTTCCTCATTGAATGCTCTTGATACCCTTGTCAAAAATCATTTGATCATACATATAATGGTTTATCTTTGGGCTCTCTATTCTGTTCCACTGGACTATATGTCTGGCTTGATGCCAGGGCCACACTATTTTGATGACTGGAGCTCTTCAATAAGTTTTGAAACTTGCAGAGGGGTTTTATGACCCAGTTAACATTTAACTGCCAGAGCCCTGGGATCCCCTAAAAGGCCTTTAAGCAAGTGAGTAATGTGATCATTAAAGCACTGGACTCTAGACCCCAACCTCTCTGACTTCTCCTCTCGCTCTCTCTTTCTGTCTTCTCCTGCTCTAACCTAAACACTCCCATCCTTCTGCAGCCCCTGAAGAAGATGGCCGACCGCATCCGGAAGTACCAGATCTTGAACAATGAGGTTTTTGCCATCCTGAACAAGTACATGAAGTCCGTGGAGACAGACAGTTCCACCGTGGAGCATGTGCGTTGCTTCCAGCCACCCATCCACCAGTCGTTGGCCACCACTTGCTAGGCAGAAGGTCCCACAGACCTCGACCTGGCAGAGGAGGAGAACAGGATGGAGAAAGCCACCGCCAGCCTGCCACAGGATCCGACTGGACGGCGTGTGGGATGGACCTGGAAGCAAACAAGCCCCTCCCCAAGCCCATCCCACCACGCCCAGGGCTGGGCCTGTGCATGCTCTCCCATGACATCCCCATGGTGGGTTTGCCATAGCATCAATGAAAAAAAAAAAAAGGAAACAGGACAGTGTGTGCTTTTTTTTTTCTTTTTGCACTCACCTGTAGAAAGGGCTCCTAGTTTCACCCTTTCTCCATCCTGTAGTCCCACCCATCTGTGGTTGCTTCCCAAGGCCTTGACCGCCTACCCTGCGCCTACATATGACCCAGAACTGAAGTCTCAGACTGAGGGAAGAGTGTGGCCATACCCAGAAATGTCAACCTGGCCTAAAGGTCATGCCTCAGTTTACCACTCCTTCATTTCCTGTGGTTCTGCTCCAGTCCCCCGGGTGGCATCTCCTGCCTCAGGTGTCAGGGGTTCTATCACAAGGCTCCCCCAAAACTCCCTCCTGATGCCCCTCTTAGGGCAGTCCCCAAGAAAGACCAGCAAAGCTCCCAAAACTGCCTCTCCCTGAGTGAGTTGAGGTAGAGGGATGGCCAGAGTTGTAGGGTGGAGACAGCAGGTGTGAACGCAGCCAGGAACTCCACAGAATGCTTGAGGCCATCTCAGCAGCACCATAGTGAAGTGGTTCCTTTATTCCTTAAGCAAATTCTTAGCACCAGGCCACACTGGAAGTGCAGCACCAGCAACCAAATTAGGGACCACTTCTTGGCACAGAATCTTCATAAAGGAAAACTCCCACAAGAAAGAAAATATTAAGTGGTTATTTTCACAGAGGCCAAACACTTCTTGGGGACATGAAAGTAAAGAGTAAAAATAAGACTTGTCAGTGAGCTTTGAGTACCAAAATACACCCCCAATGAGAAGTCCTATGTTAATGAATAAGAACTTTGAGTGTCCCAGATGCTGAAGATTCTCGCAACATTCTATCTTTTGCTGTCAACTCCCTGTACTCTGAATGCTCTTTAAGTTAGACATTGGGGTATGGCTTCTCTCACAGGGGTATATTTTTTTTTCCGTTTTCCACACTGAACCAAAAGGCCTCTGCAGAACTACCCACCATGTGGGGAGGCCGTGGAGGAAGACAGAACCTTTGGGATATAAATGCGGTATTACAGAGCACATCATTGTCCAAGGGAGTCATTGGCCCTTAGCTTTTAAGAACATATAAAATGTGACATTTGATACTTCTCTTCCAGCCCAGGGAGGAAAAGAAGATAGAAAATGGCAAGAACAGTAACTCTCCCTCCCCCAGGGCAGGTGAATGGAAACGTTGCCTTTAATCGGATGGTCTGTGTTTAACCCCATGGAAAGTACGATTAGTACAGTTGAATGTGTAGCTTTCTGGGCCACACATCAAAGCTACTAATTCTGAATCTCTAAGAGTGGGCCAGGAAATCTGCATTTCCCACAAGCTATCTGAGTTATTCTGTTCCACAAAGTTTGAGAACCACTGTTGCAAAGGAACCCTTCCGCTAGCCTTGGGCTTTGAGCTTCCTCTAAGCCGTGAAAGAGTATCTGTAGGAAGATGGTTCAGAGAGGATGCTGGCTGTTCCTCCTGTCTGGAGCTGCTGCATTCTATTCTGATTTCTTATCTGTTTCCTCTTGATGACCATAGATGTGTTCCATGGGCAAAAGAGATGGGTTAGCCCACATGGCAAGCTACATGGGAGATCATGCCTTTAAAACCCACATTAAATCGCCTAGCTCAGAGCCTCTGCATCTTAAGCGCTGAGGTCAGCTGCTGGCTCTCTCCGATAGACTAGATTCATTCCAAATTCCTGACCATTGCTTTGTGGGGATCTGGGTCTTCCATTTAATGAGATTGCTGTTTCAACAACCCACTCCTCCCACCCTGCATTCATAATCCTGTACCTGACCCTCTGGGCAGAGTCACAAGGTCCTCAAGAGGTTTGATCCCAGTAAATTAAGCTCTTTCCTCTCAGCAGAGAGATTTCATTTCCCTGCCTGGCGGCGGCACTGATCTCTAAACACCAGACAAGTTTAATATTCTTTCCTTCCTGGAATTACTGCCCACCCCCACCTTTTGATTTTTTTGTGTGTCTAACAACCAGAATAAATAAAGTGCTTAGGTTTTAAAAAGTTAAAAAAAAAAATCTGTTTCAGAAACTGTCAAATGTATCATATTTGTATTAAGAGTTGTTGGGGATTTTTGTACAATGAATTTACATTTATTTATGGTGACATATTTACGGTTGTGATCAAATGATGTTAAATTCTTAAATCATATTTGCTATGCAGCTGAAGATGATATTTTGATTTGTATTTTGGGGGGGGGTACCTGTGTTGAGTCGATAAACATTACCATCTCCATTAAAACTGCTTCCAAACAAGTAAAACCAGCAACTTGGTCTCGATTGTTGGTCATATTTCAGTTCTTGATCTGTGAAGGCCACTTTAAAACAAATGGCCAAGAAAACAATCTAAAAGAGAATGAAAGGAAATAAAAACATAGCAGATCAGTACACCCTGACCTAATGGCTTAACTTACTTTCCCACTAGGGTATTATCTTTGGTTTGGTTTGGTTTTTGAGTCGAGTCGCACCCTGTTGTCCAAGCTGGAGTGCAGTGGCACACAGCTACCACAATCTCAGCCTGCTGGGCTCAGGCGATCCTTCCACCTCAGGCTTCCAAGTAGCTGGAACTAAAAGCGCATGCCACCATGCCCAGCTCACTTTATAATTTAGTAGAGACAAGATCTCATCAAGTTGCTCAGGCTGGTCTCAAACCCCTGGGCTCAGGCAATCCTCTTGCCTCTTGTCTCCCAAAGTGCTGGGATTACAGGTGTGAGCCACCGTGCCTGGAGGGAATTACATCTTTACATCTTTACATCTTTGCATAGGGCAGGATACAGGAAGTAGCTCCCACTCTTAGAGATTTCATAGTCTGAGTATATCCACATACCTCACATCCCTAGCATATTAGTCCATTTTGCATTGCTCTAAGGAATACCTGAAGCTGGATAATTAACAAAGAAGAAGTCCTGCAGACTGTACAAGAAGCATAGTGCCAGCATCTGCTTCCGGTGGGGCCTCAGGAAGCTTTGAGTCATGGCAGAATGTGAAGAGGGAGCAGGTATGTCACACGGTGAGAGACAAAGCGAGAGAGAGAAAGGAGATTCCAGGCTCCTTTAAACAACCAGCTCTTAGGAGAACTAATACAGTGAGAACTGTTGCCCTGAGATAGCACCAAGCCATTCACCAAGGACCTGCTCTCATGACCCAAACTCCTCCCACTAGGCCCCACCTCTAACACTGGAGATCACATTTCAACATGAGATTTGGAGGACACAAACATTCAAACTATATCAGTTTTGAGGAAAGAATGGGAATATTTAATGAGGCCCCGTGTAAAGGCACCAAGCTAAACCCTATCACCTCCGTTCCTTTTAATCAACCACCATCACCTTATATGGTATATTCTACATTTTACAAAAAGCCCATAAAGTAGGTTTACTTTCACACCATACTAAGCGACAGAGTTGGGATTTGAACCCAGTTCTGAAGCTAGGCTTTTGCTGTCCCACTACAATGAAGTGGTCAGCCAGGCCCAACCCCAAACTGGACTTGAAGATTTGGTCACTGGACTTTTCAGAGCTTTGGGTCAGTAAGATCCGCTGGAGTATGATATCAGGATAGAACTTGGCATGGTCGCTGAGAAGTTCTCAGTCTGAAGGGGAAAGGCTGGTGCCTGGGAACCTCTCACACTCCTGAGAAAATATGTTTACTGGAAGATACGTTTAAGGTTGGCCTTCAGGGCTTAGAGCCCCCCCATTTCACACGACACTAGCTTTTCTAAAGGCTGTCCGCTAAGGTGAGTCCTGGAGCCGTTTTCTCTTTTGTCAAGTTGGACAAGCAGACCCCTCCCAGCTCTGATAGCCTGATTCTAGGTCATTTCACATGGGTGTACTCTGAGGGACCTGACTGTTTTACACACTCACAATCTTTCTTAGTGTGTGTTACCACCTTCTAAAATTGCCACCATTAGGAGTCATATACTTGAGCTAGTGGACTTAGAAGACATTAAGTCCTGAGAGATGCTCAGTGAAGAGGATATCCCATGGAAAATTAATTTGGGGAACACGTCATTTTTTTTTTCTCTCTTGAAGATCTATGATGACCTGAGGAGTCTGGCAGAATCGAATCAGTCTAGATTAACACCCTGTGTCTCCTAGGCAGCCATGTCTTGGAAATCTGTTTCTATGCAACATGAATCTTCCTCTATTGAAACACACTTTGAAAAATACTGGGCTAAAAGTATGGAAATCCATAATAGGATATTTTATTCTTTACTTTTTTTTTTCTTTTCGAGTCAGAGTCACTCTCCCAGGCTGGAGTGCAGTGGCACGCTCTTGGCCACCCCAGCATCGACCTGCTGGGCTCAGGCGATCCTTGTGCCTCAGCCTTCTAAGTAGCTGGACTTACAGGCACATGCTACCACACCCGGCTAATTTTTTGATATATTGTAGAGATGAGGTCTAACCAAGTTGCCCAGGCTGGTCTCGAACCCCTGGGCTCAGGCAATCCTCTCACCTCAGCCTCCCAAAGTGCTGAGATTACATATTTGAGTCACTGCACCTGGCCTTATTTTTTACTTTTTGAGATGGGGTCTTACTCTGTTGTCTAGATTGGAGTGCAGTGATACAATCACTGCTTGCTGCAGCCTGAGCTTCTGGGCCCAGGTGATCCTTCCATGTCAGCCTCCCAAGTAACTGGGACTACAAGCAAATGTCACCATGCCCAGCTAATTTTTTTTTTTGTAGAAACAAGGTCTCTCTATGTTGTCTGGGCTGGTCTCAAACTCCAGGGCTCAAGCAATCCTCCTGCTTCGGCCTCTCACAATGCTGGGATTACAAGCATGAGTCACCACACCCAGACTGTAAGATATTTTAAAAACTCCCTCAAGAGAAAGACCACTGACATGTAAGGAGTCATGACACAAGGGCACAATTAGAGAAGCAGGGACCTGGCAAAGTATTGAAGGATTTCAAATGGGTAGGGGAAGGATTTTGATGATAGAAAAGAATATGACAGCTGGGTGTATGAGTTTGCCAGGGGTGTCATAACAAATACAACAGACTGGATGGCTTAAACAACAAACTCATTTTCTCACAGTTTTGGGGGCTACAAGTCCAAGATCAAAGTGTCAGCAGAATTGGGTTCCCCAAGGACTCTCTTCTTGGTTTGTGGGTGACCATCTTCTCCAAGTATTCTCAGTGGCCTTTCCTGTGCATATCTGTGTCCTAATCTCCTTTTCTTATGAGGAGGCTAGTCATACTGGCTTACAGCCTAACTTAATGACCTCATTTTAACATGACCTCTTTAGACGCATTATCTCCAAATACAGTCACATGCTGATGTACTGAGCTTTAGGACTTTAACAAACAAATTTGAGGAGCAGGGACACAATTTAGCCCAGAACACTGGGATGGAGCTGGTGAAGTGCTGTCTCTACGAGCCCTGGACAGTTTGAAAGCTGGGGCGCCATTCCTTTGTGAAACTTCTTGAATGCTCACTATTTGCAAGACTTTATAGAAGATGAGGAAGAGAGAGGAGAGGATGACGGGAATACAGCAGAGTAGGAAGCACAAGGAATCCATCTCCCCACCTAGACAACAGTCACCCTGGCAGAGTCTGTCTGATGTTACTGCTTTGGAACTCTGGAATTTATTGAAAGTTTGCAACTTCCAGTGGGGAATCTTAGACAGCAAGTTACAGTGAATTTTGGTTGATTTTAGCTCTGAGTTCAGCAGCTGCTGCCCATCCACCACCTCTCAGGCCTATGGCAGGCAGCTGTGCATGTATGTGTTCCTGAAGCAGTTTGCAGGAACCAGAGTGGGCAATAAGGACGCTGTCCTCCAAATATTGGGCTTCTACGTTCTGATGGCTGATGGCTAATTGTTGCTTCTACCACAGAGAAGCAAGCACTGAAGCAGGCAGCCATTGTTGTAATTTCCACCCCCATCACTGTTGTTGCAAGTCCCACTTCCCTCCAACTGAAGCAACTTCCAGAGGATTTAAAAAGTCAGTGCTCCTTTTCTTCCCAGGTCACTCACACTTCATTTCTATCTATTTTCCCTTCTGGGAGTCAGACATTAAAGACTAGGTCATTCAAAAGCAACTGCATAAAAGTCACCCCAAATGCACAAGGAATGGCACAGACTCAAAAAAGATCCAAGAAGATTTTAAATTTAAATCCTCAGACTGATCCTCAAGATGCCGACAGCCTACAACAATCAGAAATGAAACAAAAACAAAAACAGCAAACAGCAAATCCTGGGGAAGGGGAAAAACTGGGTTTCCAGAAATACCACGTTATGTGATTCACATGTCCAATTTTAATCCCCCAAATCACAAGACATACAAAGAAACAGGAAAGTATGACCCATCTAAAGGAAGGGAAAAAAAAACTGTTTATGAGAAAGACTAGATGGCAGACGTACTAAACAAAGACATTAAAACACCTGTTTTAGATGCTGAAAGAACTAAAGGAAGACATGGAGAAAGTCAAGAAATGATGTATGAATAAAATAGAAATAACAGTAAAGAGAAATCATTTTAAAATTCTAGAGCTGAACAGTACAACAGAATGAAAAAAATGATTAGAAGAACTCAAAGGCAGATTTCAGCAGGCAGAAGAATCAGTGAACTTGAAGATAGGACAATTGAAATTATCAGAGGGGCTTTAAGATGGTTGCCTAGAGGCATCTGGTACTGAGCTCCTCCACAAAGAAGAACCAAAATAGCAAGTACATAATCACACATCGAATAGATCACCTAAGAGAGAATGCTGGAATTCAACAAAGTAGTGATAAGATATAACTAGTGGGGCACACTTCATCAATAAGGGTACCTGATCCCAAACCAGGTGAAGTAGGGATCAAACTTTACTTGTATGATGACCATTTGTATGCCTAAGCATAAATTTTACCCCATATCTCTAAAGTAAAAATTAAAAAATAAATAAATAAAGACACAATTAGCAAGGAAAGAGAAGGAAGCAAGACAGCCTGCTGGGCTAGGATTGACTGGGACCTGGGAGATCCCTAGTGCAGGGAAAGGGTAAGTGAGAGACCCCCAGTGGTTCATATTCCCACCACCATGTCTGTCCTGCAATTCTAACCGTGGGAAGCCCCTCAACCCACACAAGCCCTGATCCCAACTTAGGGAGCTGCCTAGAGATCACACAATGGCATTACTCCCGAAAGGGAACTCATGCCAGGTTCCAACACAACCTTGCAGTCCCTTTAAAAACTTCCCAAGGAAAGGCTACCTCACTTATAGCCACCACCTAAGGTGAAGTTCAGCATGGTTTTCCCAACCACTTGTTTACAGCTGCTGCCGCTT